GTTGATTCTGTAAATGTCATTTTTAATGTACTTATAATTGTTTTCCCAACAACTCCTCTGGCAATAAGCCACACTATACAACAAACACTTTCTTTATCTTCTTGGATTAAATAAAACAACATATTTATCTTTGCCATTGCTTGGATCTTACTTGCTGTGACTCACTTTGCCAGCAAAGTCAATTTTAAAAATAAATAATAAATTCTGATGACCTTGTGCTTTCTTATTGAATGTGAAAAGCAACAAGAAAGGGACAAACATAAGCTTGTAAGTGCTTGTTAACTATTTTGTTACCATTTAAGAACATAGACAATTCTTCATTTCCTAGGATTGAGGGGACAAAGCACTGTAAACTGGGTGACAACACATCAGAAATGAACTGTGTCATGGTTTTAGATGCTAGAAGGTGTCAGCAGTACCATCCTCCTGAAATCTAGAGAGACATCCTCTTTGCCTTTTCCGAGCTACTGGTAGTTTGTTGGCAACCTTAGGCATTTCTTGGCTTTTGAGGCCACCCCAATCTTCTGTCTTCCCAGGCATCTTAAAAGAAAATCAATTTACTTCATTGTTCTTATGGAGGTGATGCACAGAGGGATTGCAAGGAATGAGTACATTTCCTTTCTTACAGTGTCTTCCGTTGCCTCACTCTCTCGCAGTCCCTCCCTCCTGTCTCTGCCCAAGCATTATAGAGTTCACTTTCATCAGTGTCCAGTGAGCTCCACTGCTGCACTGCTTTACCCTTTCCCTCAAGTTCTGTGCCCTCCCCAGCCCTCCTGAAGGCATACATGTGAATAATCATACATAAAGAAGGCAGAATCAGCCGGGTGCCAGTGGCTCATGCCTGTAATCCTAGCTATTCAGAAGGCTGAGATCTGAGGATTGTGGTGGTCTGTGAGCCTCATCTCCAATAAACAACCAGAATACCAGAAGTGGTGCTGTGGCTCAGGTGGTAGAACACTAGCCTTGAGCTGAAGAGCTAAGGGACAGTGCCCAGGCCCAGAGTTCAAGCCCCACAACCGACAACAAAAAGAAAAAAGAAAAAAAAAAGAAGACAGAATTATCAAAAATATATATTTTTTAAAAAAGGACCTTCCGTTAACTAAATACATCGTCAATGATGCTATTTCCAAATAAAGTGGAATTCCGGATTACTGGTATTTAGGACTTCAACATACTTTTTCTGAGGGGACACAATTTAACTTACAATGGCAACTAGGCTGCTTTTAAAAATTAATGATATCTAACTATAGTATTGAAAGTATTTCAATCTTGGAATCTGAGAGTAAAGTTTGACTGTGGTTCAGTGAACTCTAAAAAAAAGAGAGTATCATATTAGAATACATCATGAAGAATAGAGTTTAGGAAGCAGGTGGAGTGATGTAATTCATTATTTCAAAAGTACAGGTTAATGCCTGTAATCCTAGCTGCTCAGGAGGCTGAGATCTGAGGATTATGGCTCAAAGCCAGCCAAGATAGGAAAGTCTAATTAATCATCAAAATGCCAGAAGTGGAGCAGTGGTTCAAGTGGTAGAGTGCTAGCTTTGAGTACAAAACCTCAGAGACAGTGCCAAGGCCCAGGGTTCAAGCACCAGGACTTGCAAAATAAAGGTACAGGTTAAGTCCTCAAGAAACACAGTATATACAGAATAATATACATTTTTCTTTTCCCCATTCATGACTATGTCATTAACAAATATTTGAAGGAAAGATCTATTACGTGTGGATTTCCTGATTGACACATTGAATTGTGTTCTCCCCAATTTCATAGGTTGAATCTGAACTCTCAATGTGTTGTCATTTGGAGATGGCAGCTTTGGGGTTGATTAGGTTTAGATCAGGTCATTGGATCATTCAATAAGTGCCTTCAGGAGAACACACACCAAAGAACTTGTTCTTTTTCTTTCTGACATGTGACGATACCACAAGATGGTGGTCATGTACATGCTTGGAAGAGAAGTCTCACCCAACCTTGACAGGGGTCTCATCTGATCCAGACGGACCCCAATCTTGATCTTTTAGCCTCCAGAAGAGTGACTAAGATACAAAACCAGATCTGCTCACTAAAATCTCATGTTAAAAATGCTGTTTCTAAATAACCAGGCAAGACAAGTAGCAGAGCCCAAGATCAAATCTATGCAAATGATGGAGAGAGAAAGAGGCCTACAGCCTTATCCAGGATGGGGAGGCCAGAAGACTTCATGATGATCTGGTGATATCTTTTCCCACCACACAGGAGCTTTGGAACCAAATTGATAGTAACCTTGTAGGGCATGACCTTATAGTAATAACAACAACAAATACACATGTAGCTTTTACTGTGAATCACTGCTTTTATTCCATTTGTTTTCTTTAGAGTAAGACCTTGGACCTGACATGTTGGAAACATGAGTCAGGCCTCTGGCCTGGGACTTTGCCAAAGAAGCAAGACTGGATTTTCATAAATTCAGCAGAATCATCCACCCAGCAGAGCTTATTTGCATGCTTGTAGAGACAGTAAGCAGAATAATGTTACTCCATTCTGCTCATCATCACAAGATACCCATGTCCAACTCTCAGAAGCTGTGGACATGTTAGGTTACATGGCAAAAGGAAGGCATGGTGATTGATGGCATTAATGTTGCTAATCAGTTGACTTCATTATTGAGAGAGTATTCTGTATTATTCAGGTAAGCCCAAAGTGTGCAACAGTGGCATAAGGGAATCAGAGGAGCTGTGACTATGGAAGAATGGTCAGAAAGATACCAACATTAGGCCAGTATGAGTGGCTCAGTCCTGTAAGCCCAGCATTTTCTTTTCTTTTTTTTCCTTTTTTTTTTTTTGCCAGTCCTAGGGAATGACTCAGGGCCTAGACTCTGTCTCTGAGCCTAGTACTCTACCACTTGAGCCACAGCACCATTTCCAGCTTTTTCTGTTTATGTGGTACTGAGGCATTGAACCCATGGCTTCATGCATGCTAGGCAAGCCACGTTCCCAGGCCCAATCCCAACAATTTAGGAGGCAGACATATGAAGATAGTAGTTTAAGCCCAGTACAGTCAAGAAACTCTCAATCCACTCCTCTTATTGTGCATTCTTCTCTATATCCTTTTTCAAGATCTTAGTGGATGACTTTCCCTCTCTTCCATACCTATATCTAATCAGTTGCCAAATTTTAGAAGATACTTCTAAGTCATCTGTCCTCTTTTCTTCCCCTAAAACACTGGCTCAATCTAGAATCTCATCACTTCTCTGTAAGATGTATATAATGGCTTCTTAACTAACTTCCTGACCACCTCCTATCAACCTTTACCTGTTACCAGAGGATGCTCTAACTCTATCACACTTCCAGTTAAAATTATACCATGACTCCCTGAATTTCATTCTGCTCATATTAAACTTGTCCTTGACTGTTAGTTCATGTAATTTCTGTTGCACTGTGAGGAATTTCCTTTCTCTTTTCACCCAAGTTCTTCTTTTTCTGCCATACTGAAGACCAGAATCGCCTTTCCCAGAAACTTCCCCAGAACTTCTCTGATGCTTCCTGTGATTAGCTCAGCCTCTGTCTGAAACCAGACTTTTTAGACCTCAATAACCAATCTCCTAAAGTAAGATATGTCAGGTCTTTCTACTCACCCTTATACACCAAATAAAGAGATAATGGTAAAGGTAGGCATGCTATTAGGTAGGACATGAACTTTGACTTTAAATAGACAAGGAACTAGGGGAAGGGGGAATTATTAAATTATTAAACAGTCCTCTTCAAAGGATGGTCGGGTCAGTCACTATTTTAGAAGGGTTTCTGGAGAAGTTATAATTGCTGTCATCACTCATCAGGATAAATGAGTTATTGTACAGGGAGAAAACAGAGAAGCCACATTTTGTGACGTAGAATTGGGAGTCTTTATTGGAAAGCTGGTGAATGCAGGTAAATTCTTGTCAGAAAGTCTTGCAGCCCCATGAATACACTTAATACTGTTAGAAAACTGAGCCATGAGAGCTGGAAAGAGCAAAAGCAGAAAAACAATATTAACAAACCAGATCAGCACCAGTGGAGAGCTGAAGTGGGACACTATGGTGACCAGAGAAGAGCCAGGAGACAGGAGATAGGAACAGGACACAGGGCAGAGTCATGGCATAATGGCATCCGATCTGTTCGGGACCTTCATAGGGTCAGGTAGGGGGTAGGATCCCAGAAAGCTTGAGAGTTCAGGACCCAAGACTGGAAGGTCTAGTTCAAGTTCTAGCTCTGGAATTCAGGTATGCTCATCACCAGGGAAGGGAACTTCCCTGCCTCCACCATGAAGACAAGATGGCACCAGTTAAACTCAATACCCTATCACCCATCACATGGCCAAGATGGCGCCAGTTAGATCCAGCATCCTTATTTCAAAGTCATCCTTACCTGCTGGGTGGTTTGTTCCGAAGAGGTGCTATTGTTACTTAGTTCCAGTTCCTTGTCATAGAGATGTCTGGGACCCAATGTGATAGCAAAGTATCTGAAAAAACGGCTTAAATCAAAGATGTACAATGTATGCTAAGTTTTTCCTCCTGTTTTTACATAATTCACGGGTCCAAGTTAATTAGTTGGTGTTTTTCAGCAAAAACAGCTTTTAAGCACATCTTATATGCCCATATTTTATACAAATTTGTGATGTGACTTGTCTATCCTACAGTCTGTGTTATTCATATTCATCTTTTAATTATCTGAGTCACTCATGGAGTGACTTATGATTAGGCCTTCTAAGTACTTGTTGAAATAATTATTTTTAGAAGCTGAACCATAGGATTTAGTGAACCCTTAGAGGAAGAAATTAAAAATGCATCCGAGGCCTTTGTATTAGAGAGATCAGTGATTTGGACACAGGCAACCGTATGAGTCAAAAGTGGATGATTTACCTCTTAACTTACTGGGACAACTGGAGGACAGGTGGAGCCATACCAAGAGGGAGAGCAGAAAACTACATTTCCCGTCATGCCAGTGGGCACCGCTTACGTTTGCCCTCACCAAACTCACGGAAATGAAAGGAGTACTTCCGGTTCGGCAATTTCCCCGGTAGCCGGCGGTGTTGCTGGGTCCTTTTGGGCCTTGTCGGAAGCTCCGCCTTCGCTCCGGTCTTTCTGGAACCCGCTGTTCGATCTCGGTGGTGCGGGACAGGTATTTCCCTGCAGCCGCGGTTGCCTTGGGCGGGGGGAGCCCGGATCCCGGGGAGGCGCGGCGTCAGGCCGGGCGCGGGACGGGGTGGCCGGCTTCCCGGGGGGTGGTTCCGGTCCTGACGTTTGTCTCCTGTCTTTCTCCCCGGTTGCCGATGGATCGCAGCGTCCCGGGCGCGCGCGCGCGTGTGTCTCCCATGGCTGATACGACCCCAAACGGCCCCCAAGGGGCCGGCGCCGTGGTGAGTGACGGCGAGGGGCTTCGCAAGGAGCCGGAAGTGTGGACAGTTCTAGAAACTCGGGGCTCGGAGGGCTGGGCCGAGGGGGTGGGACGGGGTGGGTGCTTCGGGCGGAGGGAGGGAGAGGGAGGGCCCGATCCCGGGGAGAGCGGTTAGCAGGCTTGGTTCCCGACGACCGCAGCCCGGCCTGGGCAGGCGACCCGCCGCCGGGGCGGAAGGTGCGGTCTGCGGCCGGGCCCGGGCGCCGCGCTCGCCGCGCACGTGCGTGCGGCGGACAGCCGCTGCCCGTCTGGTCCCGGTTGTGGAAATTACGCAAAGGGAGAGACTTGCGTGTGTGTGTGTCTGGGTTTCTCTTTCATTTTGTTGTTAAGAGGAATAACTACACTTTTTAAGTTTTATTTTTTAATGGTGATCTAGCTGTTCATGCCTGACCCATGATCATTCTCTGGTTTTAAACTGTTTAAATTGGGAGATTCCCCCCCCCCCCACCCTTTGGTTTGAAGATTTTTTTTTTTTAAATTTGCCCCATCTCTGTTATATACACGGTTTGGTGGTAGTTGGGTTTTTTTTTTTTTCGTTGAGCGATTTGAAAGTATTGTCTGTTAATCCACAATTATTTTATGATGACCACGGTACAGTTTCACATTTGGGGAAATTTAACCATCGACTCCTGCTGTTACCTAACATATAGTTCATGTTCGAATTTCCTTCATCGTGCAGGAAAAGCATGGTTCCTTCTCCTGGGATTTAGCCTAAAAAGCAGACATTACGTTTACTCGTATATTCTTAAGTTTGTTTGAATCTGGAAAAGTTCCTCTGCTCGTCTCCCTTTTTGAGCTGTCAAGAGTTTCAGAACCGTTTTGTACAGTGTGTCTTAAACTGGACAGACTTGAGTGATTATTCTGTCCTTTTTAGTGCTTTCTATATTAGAAATCATTTCGTTATTATGTCATTGGGGAAATAAGATTCACAGGGTGATGTTTCAGATTCTCTATTATAAAGATAAATTTTTCCCTTTGTCATTAAGAAGTATTCTGTAGCTTGATGCTTTGAGATCAGTTGTTGCCCTTCAATAATTTTTAACCCGAAGGTCTGTTAATAATAGTTCTTGCCTAAACTGTTTATTACAAAGTGTGGTGGTTTGGGCATTTCACTCTTAAAAAATGAAAACCAACATACACCTTTATGAATGTTTTCACTTATATAAAAAGTGCACATATATAAAAATGCACATACATAAAAGTGTACAAAGTGAAGTGCATAGCTCAGTGATGTATTGCAAAATGAACATGATACCCATGTAGACTTTAAAGAGAATTTTCTAAAATTAAATTTCAAACTATGGTGTAGAGTTTGGATATTTGTAAAGAAACTAGCACAATAAGCTGAATTGTCTTTCCACTTGACTGCTGTTAATCATTTAAATTTAGCAGAGTTGCAACTTGGTAGGTTTGGGTAAAATAAACCAGAGGTCTGTTTTGTATTTCTGATTAGAAAGGTCTTATGAAGTAAAATATCATTGAATTTTAAAATGTTCTTGTATTTTTTCAAACAGTTTTTACATTTTTTTCTTCCAAAAGATAATGGAATTAAATTCCTTAAAAGTAGTGGTTAACACTTTGGAAAGCAGTATGGAGGTTCCTCAAAAGACTTCACATAGAACTCCCCTATGACCCAGCAATCCCACTTTTGGGCATTCACCCAAATGTTT